GGTTTTCAGGCGATGCCCATATATAATATATCCCCCTATAAAACCCCGTACGGAATTTAGACTATATAGCTTGGGCAATCCTTGACAAGGCCCGTTCCCTCTTGACTTGCCAGCGGCGTTTCGGTAACATGGGCATCCGGCGAAGAATTGGAAACAGCTGCATGGAGCTTGCCCGGTTCAGGCCGCATGACTTCGGCTGATTTCGACAAACAGCATCTGACATTCCGAGGAAGTTCACCGACGACCAGCCAAACCAAAGACCCTCGACCGGCCTCAGCTCCCCTATTGTTATTATTATGATTATTACTACTATTTTAAAACTATTACCCGTCTTGTATCAGCCCTATTACTATTATTACTACTGCAGTTATGATTACTATTACTATTATTTCCTGGGGTCTGCCCCTGTATCCCAGGCCCTACACCTTGCCTGGCCACCAAAAACCGCGCGAGCGCCCGGCGGTTTCCAAAGAATCTCAGGCTTGGCTACAAAGAGGTTCCTTGCAACTTGGGAGGAGGCAGGGTCCATATGAACCATAGTCTAGGGTTTAGGGATATTACCCCCCAAGAATGGAGAATCAAATGGAAAAGAAAATGGAAAATGAAATGGAAAGCGGGATTATATGAGGGATTATAGGGGTTCTAGTCTAAACTCCTAGTATCCCCCTTAATAACCCCTAAAGTAGCTCCCTATACAATCCCCCATTTAGCCTCCTCTTATGGAGTTTAGACTCGAGCTCATATTGAGATGCATTTCAAGGCTGGATGCTTCTTCCGTCTGCAAGCTATGTCTCATGGCACAATTCCAGCTGCACTTGATTTGGGACTCCCCAGAAAGTCTTCTGACAAGTTTGCAAACATGTCATGGGCTCCGGAAGGATAAGCCCCCTAGGTTCTAGCTTACCTAAGCTGAACCTGCCAAAATAGTGCGGGGTGGGGATGGCTGAGGGAACTCCCTGCAAGCATCCTGCATGAGGGCTTCTGGTATCAGCCAAGGCGCGGGTCGATGCGGTCAAGCACAATGGCCTTGCGCCGATCCCTTGCTATCCATGTATAAGCTATAGTTTCCTTAGACCTATAATGAAAATAATATTTCCAATATTTCCTTAGGGTTCTACTATAAACAAGTTTAAATAATTCGTAAGGAATTCGTAAGGACGGTACACCAAAGAGCCTTCACGACCTCAATATACTATAATCCTTCTAATGAGGACCCCCAAGGTGGTACCCCTAGTTTTAGGGTAACCCCAATGTAACCCCAATGTACCCCCAGTATACCCCCAATATACCCGGAGTTTAGACAAAAGCTCAAGTCATCGGCGCCTGGAAGACAGCCTGCTGTGGTGGCCCCTCTGGCGCACCTTTGCGCTGGCCTTGGAGTGCCGACTCCACCTGCTCCGACTCGTCTCCTGGTTTGTTTTTAGTTTAAGGTTTTGGGTTTGGGGTTTTGGGTCTACGGTCTAGGGACGCAACTCATTGCCATCAATTCCAGACTGTTCAGCCTAGATTCTAAATTCCATTCCTTTTTTGCATTTGACTCTGCGTAATTCTAACATACCACCCATTTGACTCTGCATAATTCTAACATACCACCTTTCATCCTGGCAGTCTCAGCTGAGTAGGTTATATTCCTTATATAAAATACTACACCCCAAAAGGAGGATGTAATCTTACTCTATATTGGGTACCATAGTAGCCCCAAATAACCTACTACTCAGCTGTTTCTGCAACTTCAACACCCATGCGTGCTCTCTTGCACAAGGTCCTGATTCTGACCTTGCCATGGCCCCTCACTGCATCACAGCTTGAGGCTCAAACGGCACAACGGCGGTGCATGGTAATAACAACAATAAAAGTAGTAATGGTAATAATAATAATAATAGTAATACTAACAATAACAGTAATAGTAGTCATAAGAGTAACAACGGTAATAGTAGTAATAATAGTCGTAAAGTACTACTAACAATAATGATTGACTGCCGTGTTCAAAGCTCAGGGATCAGCCCCACCATGTCGGATGGTTCATCCCATGAGCGAATTTAAGCATGTGTTGCCCATGAGTTGCAGGGCCCCTTGGGGTCACATAGGGGATATATAGGGGTAATACTGGGGATATATTGGGATGATGGAAAAGAACATGGAAACTACTATTTAGGGTTTAGGGTTGAGGTTAAAGGTCGGGAAGGCGGAATGGAAGATGACGCCCAGAACGCCCGCCTCTCTCCACTTCTTGCCCCTCAATTTCGGCCAAGAAGCAAATGGATTGTCTTCAAGCATGCTGCTGTCAAGACCTTGGAGAACTATCCGGCGAGGGCCATGCCAGGTATTTGAATGCGTTGTCTGTTGCAAGGCAAATGCTCGGCACAGAACGCCAAAGGAACCGCGCGGGAGTTCTAGGAGTAAATCTTTTCGACCAGCCTGCAATGCAGCAAGGACAGGTCTCCGCGTCTATGAAGAGGAACGCAAAGTACAAAACAAATGCTGCTGACGCTGACGCCTGCAGGAAGCTTTAACTGGATCTGCTCCTTCAAGTCCTCCTTGGCTTCCATCTGCTTCTCAGGTGCCATCGGCCTGGGGGTCGGAGTTTGCGACTCCTGCGGTGCAGGCGCGGCCATCTGCAGGAAATCAGAAGCTGAAATTGATAACCCTAAACCCTAAGCCCCTAAACCCTAGACACTAGACAACCCTAAAGTCGCCGGAACGAACATGGACCCCCTCTGCAAGCGCCTTCAAATTCAAGTTGTCTGCTGTTTTGGGGGGAGTGGTAAAGCCCCTGTTGCGGCCCAGCAATGACTTGAGGCACTAACATCCCTTAGGAGGAGCCCCCACGCTGTAAAAAGTGGTATAATAGGAATATAACAGGACCCTAACATCATCCCTATTATCCCTCATAGCCACTATTTCGGGTGGGGGGTCCTCCTAAAGCATCCCAAAGGACCTGAAGGCCTCTGCTGTGGATTCCATGCGGGGCGTCATGAAGAAACTCCCGCACGGGAGGTTGTAAGAACATGATCCTTAATGTCCCACAGATGGAACAAATTCTGAGCAAGACTGAACTCTATCCCTAAACCTAAGCCCCAAATAGCAGTTTCCGCTTTCTTTTCCATTCTCCCTACAGAGCCCTGTATAAAGCACTAGATATTGACCCTAAACCCTCAACTAAACCCTAAACCAAACCCTAAACCTCACACCCTAAACCCTTATCTATATATATATATACACATTTATATGTACAAAAAACACCTCCCAAAACAACCCCTATATCCCCTATCAAGGTACCCCTAAGTTTACATAAGGCATCCAGGAGCCTTCCCTGAGGAGGGCAACATAGTGACCCCAAATCCCTAGTGTTTAGGGGTTTAGGGACTTAGTCTAGGGACTTTAGGAGGGACCCCTAATAGGGACCCTTAATCCCATTACCATCCATAACCCTTATATAGTCATTATAAGCCCTATATCCCAAGGTAGTCCCCATATTGACCCCCATAAGCTACAAGGGTTTCTATTAGGGGTCCCTCCTAAAGTCCTTAGACCCCTAAACCCTAAACCCTAAACCCCTAGGGTTTAGTGCCTGAGTTGGACTCCGCTTCGTCAGGATCTTTGCCCTGAGACCTGGCCACCTGGCTACAAGCGGAGTATCCCAGGCCCGTGGGAGGATCTAAAAATTAGATCCCCTATTAGACCCATGATTACCCCTAGATAATCCTTACATAATTTCTCCTATGACTCTAGGGGATCTAATTTTTAGATCTTTTTGAGGGTTTGGGACCCGAAGCTAGGCAATGAAGGGTTGAAGGTTTTAGGGGTTTAAAGGTTTAGGGGCTTTAAGGGGTTGAAGGGTTTAGGGGTCTAGGGGTTAGGAGTTTCGGGGTCTAGGGGTTTTAGGGCTTAGGGGTTTTAAGGGTTTAGGGGGTAAGGGTTTACGGGTTTCAGGGCTTAGGGTTTAAGGGTTTAGGGCTTTCAGGTTTTGTGAAGCGCGAGGACCTTAACGTCTGCAAAAGGGTTTGCGGGCTGAGGGTTTACGATTTAAGCTTACGGGGTTTAGGGTTCAGGGTGGATTCTTAGGGGGTCCCTTTGGGGATCTACGGATCTACCCGAAAAGATTGTGAGCGCGTCCTTACATAAACAAGCTAACCTTAAAATGAGGCAAGGGAGCCTTAAGCACCAACCTTGCACGCCTGTTTTCCAGAAGGACAAAACAGTAGTTTTCAAACATAAGGGGTGCCTTTTTGAGGGGTCCATAATGGGGTCTCCAATTTTTGGGAAAGTCCCACCTGGAGTTGCTTCCACCAGCATTGACCACAAGCGCCTGGGTCTCAGCCTGGGCAGAACAAGCCTCCATGTTTGCTGATGTGGGTGGTTGTCAAAATTATGGTTCCTTTTTGGGTACCCTAAATATTAGGTGCCGTATTATATTAGGGATCCAAAAAGGGACCATCATTTTGACAACCACCCATGTAAAGGCATTTCAGCAGCTTCCAAACCCCAACCACCGCACCCCATGGGTTTAGGGTTTAGGGGTCTAAGGTTTAGGCCTGAAAAGGACAATCTGCTTCTCCACTGCACTAGGCCCTGCATATGAGCATCCTCATCTTCAGACGTCTGATTTCAGCATCTGTATGCCCTTTTTCTATGAGAGGTCCATAGTTACATATTATATATAGATATATATCCCGTAAAGATGCTGCAAAACACTAAAGAGAATGAAGGAAGCCCTTTCTTCCTGGACAGCCAGGCAGCAGCAGTCGAAGCCCCAGCCCGCGTTAAAGGAGCCCATCTTGGTCTGGAGGGCTGGCTGGGCTGTGTCATTGGTCCTTGGCAAGGGTTTAGTGAAGGACAATGCGGGCCTCTCGGGTGAACATTTACACATTCACCTATGTTCGTGTGCAGGCTTGGCAAAAGTAAGCTTGCGTTCGCGTTCATCCCCAAGCAAAGTGCATCAACAGCTATCATACGAGGCACGAGACATCCTCATCTGCAACAACTACCATCACGCGCAAGTACAATGAAGCATGAGCTAGCTTCATGTTACACAAGAAGCACAGGCATGGGCTAAGAGACGAATGAAAACCGCCTTGAGTAAACACAAGTACATGACATCGCTGTTCCTAAAATTGGGCGACAAACCTAGGGACCCGTAGGAAACATGAAGCTGACATACGCCCGTGATGGGGTTTGATGCTGACCTTCAGGGTTTTGAGGTGGCTGTGAGCCGTACATGCAGCACACGGCAATGCCAGTTGTTGACATAGCAATCCTAAGCTTGATCCTCATAGGTATATTCGGATGTAGAAGCATTCTGCCACACCGAAATCGCAGAGGCGAGTTCTGTCAGCGGTCTACCACGTGCACACAGGAAAATCAATACCGGCCGGCTATCTTGCATGAAAGCTCTTCAGGATGTAGCACTTCTCAAAAGGGGGAGCATGAAAAGAAGTCCGCGCGCACTAAGGCGCGCTGGAGATTGCGAGATAGCATGACAACTTGCTATGCTGCCTTTGCCTGTAAATCTGCCCAGTATGGAGGCTGATGCTGACGATGCTTGTGTCCTAGGAGTTGGCACAGCTTTTCCGGGGAAGTAAAGAGAATACATAGAGAGATAAAGGCTCAGCTGCAAGTTTTCAGCCATAAATACATCAATGATTTTGCTGTACTTTGAACACTTCATGCTTCTGTTGCATTGTAATCATGTTCCGGGCACGTCCGGCTCTGAATGATGAGCAACTAAACAAGGTCACCAGCATGACCTGCGTCTTCGGAGTCCAAAATTCCAAGACTCAGCTTGACATAACATACCCGCAGTGTAAACTGCAGGAGCAAAAGCCAGACACTCCAAGGCCTCTATCCAGAAGTTAGAGCTCGACATTCACTGCGCCTGTCACATGTCCTATAATCCTATGATGGTGCAGAGTCACGAACAACCCGTTGCACCCTAAATATCTATGTAATCCTTTGCTTCATCCAAGTCATTGGCGAGTTAATCCTGGTTGCGCCCTGGCTTTTATCGCATAACTTTGGCTTCCACCACCACCGCAAATCGCCGCGAGCAGCTAGCAGCGGCGGCGTCGGCAGCAGCATCACCAGCAGCAGCAGCAGCAGCAGCGGCAGCGGCAGCAGCAGCAGCAGCAGCAGCACGGCAACCACTGCCACCAGCATCACCACCACCAGAAATAAAGAAACACAAGAGGTAAAAACACACAGGACCTTCAGCGGTGGCCGCGGCAACCACTATCACCGCTACCACCACCATCCTCACGCTTTGTCAAGCAGCTGACTAGCTTGAGGACGGCTTTCTGCGCGAGGCTCCGCTCCATCGTCGCCTTTTGGAGATTGCACATGACATTTTGCAAAAAAAAGGTGCTCCTTCTCTGGGATCTCGTCTGGGAAACGCCAATCTTCTGGGATACCACTAAGACTTTTTGAGCTCAGAAATTGAAATTCCTCAGCCCCCAAAGCAGTGGTCACCACGTGCGAGTGCCAACACTCTTGGCCAAGTTCCGCACAGCATCTCCAGCAAGCCAGCGGGCGAGCAATGGTGAGTCCTGAGGAAACTTGCGCTCAGAAGTAAAAATATGACTGTTTGAGGGTTTTGGATTTAGGGTTTGGGGTTTAGGGAATAAGTAATATTTTTGCTGGGGCCGCGCGTGCGAGTCTGCATGCATTGGTGCCGCTTCGGGCATGCGCTTCAGTTCTTGATATTTTCGCATAAGCTGGATTTGGTCCTAATATGCCTACATTGGCGGAACGGTTCCAAATGTCACCAAAGTGACACTCAGTTGTGGTCTCGACTCATCAAGGCATCTTGCCGCCTCCTCTACTTCCAGTGGATTGTATACGATCCTTAAGGGTCGGGCTGAAATCCACGTGATGCAAGAGTCTTTTGGGGAACACTCGAACACCTGACCACTCATCTTCAACTACGACTTGGGTGGTTGTCAAAATTATGGTCCCCTTTTGGGTCCCTATAATAATACGGCACCTAATATTTAGGGTACCCAAAAAAGGGACCATAATTTTGACAACCACCAATGACTAATGCCTAGGGACCATAGAAACGGGGATGACCGGCGAAAATCCATGCGATGAGATGGATCCTGGACACAACCTTTCAGGTTGCCTATTTTGGAATGCGGCAGCAGCAGCGGCAGCAGCAGGAACGGTCACAACAGCAGCCGTAGAAGCAGCTTCTGGAGCTGCAGCAGCAACAGCAGCATTGCAAAAAGCGATTGCGTCGATACTTTGTCGTGGTCGTCAGTAAATGGCGTGGCATGACTCAACTTATGGGCAATTTCTGATTGGGAACTTGCTTGCGCAAAGGCTCGCCCCGGTCAGACAGCTGGCTGCCGCTGGACAGTGAGGAAAGAGGAGCTGTCTCGCCCTGGGCAGGAAGATGCCATGCTTGTTGTTTAGGTTTAGGGATTTAGGGTTCAGGGTGAGCTTCATGATCCCAAGGTTGTCAGAATAACAAATGAATCCAGTCAAAGCGAAGGGCAGTTGTATTTGGCAAGACACTTCGGCAAGCCCACCGTTGGAGAAGCGCTTTTGCCGCTTTCTTCTGTCCTCCGTAGCCAGCGGCGGCGCCTTAAGCACAACTTACCTACAGGTTGCTTAAAGACGGATCTCTATTTCGGGACTTTCCATTAAGAGGGGGACCCCAGCTAGGACCCCAATATAACAGAATCCTTAATATCGAAACCCCGTAAAGGATCCAGATTTTTGGAAACCCCACGTGAGCTCTGGATGAAAACTAAAGTATATTCCTTCGAGGTCTCTCCTTCACCTTCCTACATCCCCCTATAGGTCCTCCCAATCTAATTTCAGTCCGTAGATTATGTGGCCCATAGTCTAAACTCCTAGTATCCTCTTTACTAACCCTATATTACTCCCCTATATACCCCCCTTTAAGGAGTTTTGACTGTAGCTCATGTGGAGGTCCCTAGGACCTAGCATCCCAGCAAAAGGGTGCATACATATATATGTAATACATATGTGTATATATATATATGTATATATGTATGGCATTTGGGGTTAGTAGGGAATAAGGGAATATGATATACAAGGATTATATAAGGATTGCATTCTGTCATTCCCTACTGAGGACCAGTAAGTAATTTTGCAAGTTCTTGGATTCTGTAAAGACGATACGCTTGCTGCCAACCTTCACATGCTGTGTCAGTACAGAGGACACTTCCAAATCTTGATGCATATAAGATAAGACTATATAATCCCTACATAATCCCTACATCAGCTACAATCAAAATTTCCTACATAACTGAACGGACATGGGTTCCTTATAAGGGCCAGATTAGATTAGGGGCTGTACTAAACTAGAAGAGGGACCCCAATGTCCACTGTTAAGGGCCTAGGGCCCCTCAATAAGACTAACATTGACAAACATAGTTCCCATGAAATCCCTGTATAACCCCTACATAATCCCTATGTAACCCCCTAAAAAGCCCCAAACCCTCAACCCCCAAACCCATACCAAGGCATCTTGTGGCCTCCTCGCTCGCTGGCATCTCTGTCTCGGCACAGTTCCAGGGAGACGGAATGCCAGCACTGTCAGGGCGAGATGCCTTCGCTTTGCTTACTTGGGGTTAGTAGGGAACAACGGGATATCTACATATATATGTATGGGGTTTAGAGTTTAGGGTTAGTGGGGAATGAGGGAAAATTCAGTATAGAGATTCCCTACTAACCACCAGTAACTTCACAGAAATGAGAGCTTGTTTTGGTACATGCAAAACCCATTGCGCGCAGCTTTCGGCTTTGTAGCGGAAGCGCCCCCGGTTGATCAAGCGGGGACCCATCACAGCTAATTAGGGGTAGTAATAGCAGACGCAGGGGGAGCAAGCCGATAAGAGCTGCAAACAATGAATGGCCTGTCCCCTATTTGTACGATATACTTAGCATTCATCACAACGGTTGACTCGAGAAAGTTGCAGTAGTCGGGGCCGATACTACCATGGGAAGTTTGGAAGGCCTCCTGCGGAACCCCCCGCTACTATGCTTTATCAGGTTCAATCAAGACTACAGCCGTTGGGGCGTCTCAAAAACCTCTGCCCACCACTGGAAAGGAGCGCAGTACGAGTACTATCCATTCCTTTTCCTCTGTTCAAACCTTCCCTTAGGTCTGCTTTGCATTCTTCACGTTGTCAGATATTACCCCTATGTAACCCTATTATAATAGTTTCCATTTTCTTTTCCACATCCCTATATTCAACCCTATAATATTACCCTATATAACCCCTAGTACGTCTTCGATACTCTGCGGAATACTTGGCTTTGAGGCAGCTTTGCAGGAAGATCCAAGTTTCCGCCATGCTAGCGGAGAGGCCCATAACCTCAACCCCACTCTCAAACAGGGTTTAGGGTTAAGGGTTTGACTCTCCCCTATCTCCCTACCGGTTCTTAGCAGGGAATACGTAAGGGAATATGATCCCTATAGAACAACTATAAAATATATTCTCCTCTCCCTAAACCCTAGATAGTAGTTTCCTTTTCTGTTCAATCCCTATAGTTCCCTATATGATCCCCATATATTCCCTTATACCCTACCAAGAAATAGTAAGTATGTACTATGATGTTTGTTTCCATTCTCTTTTCCATTCTCCTCGGATAACCCCATACAACCCCTATATAACCCCCGTATAACCTATAGTAAGTAAACCCAAACCCCCAAACCCCAAACCCCTAAACCTCTAAACCCCTAAGCCCTAAACCCTCACCCTAAACCCTACATCCCTCAACCTGTAAACCTAAATCCCTTAAACCCTAAACCCCTAAACTCTAAATCCCTAAACCCCTAACCCCCTAAACCTCTAAACCCCTAAACCCTCAACCCCTAAACTCCCTAAATCCCTAAACGTCTGCCCGGTTGCTGCGGCACACGAGGAATTTCCATCGGCCTCTGCAGATCCAGCCTTTGCAAAGAGCTTGCCTTCCTCTTGCTGGGTTCCATGGGGGTTATATAGGGGTCGTTTTGGGGGTT